AGTTATATACTTATAGCATTTTTTCCTCTGAATGATTCATGTAAGCACATTAGCCCTCTTAATTATTTTAAAAGTGGCGGTCCCCCCCCCCCCCCCTATGATATTTTAAATTAATATTTCTACCCTTAAAGTAAACATTTTATTTATTTTTCTTTTTCAACAAATTATTGCGTATACGCAGGGATGACCACGGGTCGATTCGAATTGAACCGGGCACTTTAGCAATCGAATTAAAAGTTTATGATTAAAATCCAGAACCCAATATTTGGATTTCATTTTATTAAAATTATGAATCAAAAAAACTAGATCCTGAACCATGAACCGGCAGTTCCGGATTCGGTTCGCGATTTTGAACCGTCTTTATTTTAAATTTTTTTTTTTTTTTAATTTTAAAATAGTCTAAATTCAACAATAAATGTATTTTATTTTATTTTTTTTAGTTTGGAACATTAACCGGCCGTCCCGGTCGATTTTAATAAAATCTAAATATCAGGTTTCGATTCTAAATTGTAATCAGAATATTTCGGTTTGGTTTGAACCAAATTGTGGTCATAATTTGTTGGAGAAGAAAAATAAATTAAATATTTATTTTAAGGATAAATATGTCCATTTAATTCAGAGGGAAAAATAACCACTTGAATAATTCAGGGGGAAAGAGTGTTATATGTATATAATTCAGGGGAAAAAAGTGTCATTTTCCCTTTTTAATATATTAGTCAGCATAGTGAAATTTCACAAACCTACAACCTCCCATGTGGGAGTTCAACTTGGTACCATTGGACCACAAAGTCCTTGATACTAGAGGATACTTAATTAACACACTAAATATTATCATTAGAAGTGTTTAATATCATTCCGTGTTTCGCTGAAATAGTGAGACAATCTAATTAGAGGATATGCTTATGTGACATAACTAGTGAGACAATCTAATTAGAGGATATGGTTATGTGACACATTACACACTATCATTAGCAGCACGAAATATCATTCAATGCCATGTGTGGGGCATCATATATAGATGGCATAGCAAGTAAGACAATCTAATTAGCGGATATATGTATACTTATTTGACACATTATACAGTATCATTAGCAACGTGTAATATCATCTAATGCAACGCATGGGGCATCATACCTGGCACAACAAATGAGACGATCTAATTAGAGGATACTTATCTGACACACTACACAGTATCATTAACAACACCGAATTTCATTCAATGTCATGCATGTGACACCATAGTTGGCCTAGCAAGTACGGCAATCTAATTAAAGAATACTTATCTGACACACAACAAAATATGATATCATTAGCAACGCCTAATATATATTATATCATTGAATACCACGTGTGGGGTATATAGTTATGGCATAGCAAGCGAGACATGGGGTTTAATTAGAGGATGCTTATCTGACGTTCTAAATAGTATCATTAGCCATGTTTACTATCATTCAATGCTACGTGTGAGGTATGTCATGCACAAGAGTTATATATGCTTTAATTTATGTTACATAATTTAAGTTACACGTAAGGCCGTAACTTTTATGCGCACGGTAAGAATATAAACTATATATGTACATTTCAACAGTATGATGTGACCGTTGCGTAGTACTTCGTAGTAGTTACGTAAATGTTTGACTGGCTGCAAAAGGATAATATTTTTATTTTATTAAAAAAGAAAGAAATAATTGTCTTTTTTATTTGCCAAAAAGAGAGAGTTGCCTCTCGTGCACTCAAATGCTTCCTGCTTGGCTGCTTTCGTATTCTAACTACCACAACTACTACTGTACCAATTTACTGCGAAACAAACAAAAAAAAAAAACGAAAAAGAAAAAAAAATTAAAAAAAAAAATCCCATAATGGTGTTGTTGTCCGTCTTTGAAAATTTTGTCACAAAAAGTAATCTCCAGCTAATGTGTCGCTAAGCACGTTTAATTAGACATTTGATTTGTGTAACTTGAATTTTCTAGATGCATCCAATTTTTTATTTTTTATTTTTGAATTGGTTCAATTTGATTTGAACGATACTAATTTTAGCTAGATTTCAATTTTTAACGAAGATTTATGTTGGGAAGTTAGTTTCGAATAATTGATTATTATGTTTAAATTGAATGTTAACTTTTGTAATTAGACAAGTATGCCATAGTATAATATAATAATGAGTGTTAGAGACATGATTTTATGTGTTTTATTGTTTTCCTAAAAGTATTAAACATTTGTTAGTCTAACTATCTCTATACTAAAATTTCAAAAAAAAAAAAAAGTTCTATTAAGAGTAATCTCTTATACGTTAAAGAAAGTGATTAGTTGCACTTTTCTTGTGATTTTAGACAAAAAAGAAGTTTTCAGAGACATGATTATGTCTTATAGTCTTCCTAATTAGAAGTGTTAGACAGTTGTTGAAAATTAGATTGCAATATTTTCATATTGTTAGGTTGGTTGTTGTTGTTGTTGTTTTTTTTTTAACTTTTAATTTAATAATTTAGCATAAATGAATGCACTAAGTAAACCATACTCTTATGAGATAAATTTTAGGCGAAAAATTAGCATTATTCTAAGACACTTGTTGAAAATTTCAAAAATAAGATGAATTTCTTACGTGTTAAAGAAAATGATTAAATGCACTTTCTGGTGATTTTGGACCAAAAAAATGTTTCTAAGACAGTTGTTGAAAATTAGGTTGTAATATGTTTCGATTGTTAGATCAGTTACTTGATGAGTCATGATCTATGTTAGGTTCTGCAATAAATTATATACGTCACGATATTTATGTTGTAACGAATGTTTTAAACAATTGATTATTATGTTTAAATTGAAAGTTAACTTTAATAATTAAACAAGTCATAGTATAATAATAAGTGTATGCATGAGACATGGTTTTATATGTTTTATCTTCTTTCTAAAAGTATTAGATATTTGTTGAATTTAAATATCTTTAGCATGAAATTTCAAAAAACTTAAATTGTAGTAAGAGAAATCTCTTACATGTTAAAAAAAATGATGAATTGCACTTTTTTGGTGATTTTGGACAAAAAAAAAAAAAAAAAAAAAAAAAAAAAAAGTATCAAAGACATGATTATGTATTATCGTATTCCTAAAAGTATTAGACACTTGTTGAAAATTAGGGTGTAATATGTTTCGATTGTTAGGTTGATTTTTTTGCGATTGTAAACCTGTTACACTTGTTTGTTTTTGTTTTTGTTTTTTTTTTTTAAATAATAATTTAGCTATTGTATATTTGAGGGTATGTATTAAGTAAATCGGGCTCATGCGTAGTGACTCACAAAGCACACAAGAGAGAAAAGTTACATTAGGAAGACCTTGTGTGATAAGTTCAACGAAAAGAACGTTGACAAGAATTGAAATCGTGATCTTTAGTACAAAAATCATGCTCCATCCATGTCTGTTCCACTTCTTCCGAGACAAGTGTATTTATTTTTAGGTTACACTTGTGTGAGGCCGTATCACATATCCTTATTCGTGATATGGGTCGGGTCGAATCAACATGCAAATGGCATACTTATATGCTCAAATGTAATACTAATCAGGAATAAAAAATTTGTTACTTATAATGAAAATGTAATATTTTTGCATCTTGATGATAAAATATTACTCCATATATTTTTCATCAAAAGTATTACATCTTTCATAATAAATAATATTGGCAAGTGCCCCTGACTTATAAGGAAAAATATAATATTTTAAGGAAAATGTAATACTTTTAAATCAAAATGTAAAAGTATTACATTTTTTCTTAAAAATATTACATTTACCCTTATAAGTAACATAAATTTTATTTTTAATTAGTATTACATTTGAACATATAAGTATGACATTTGTGTGTAAAAGTATTACTTATTTATATTGATTCGACCCGACTCATGATGAGACAGTCCCATACAAATTTTTACCTATATATATATATTTTTTTCTCTTAGGTTGGAATTAGCCGGCCTTCTTATGATTTACAATGAATGTTAAAAGTTTTATTTATGGTCACATGTTACCACGAGATAAATTTAGAAGAGAAATTAAAGCTAATTACACTAATCTACTTGATGACTAAATTCTACCATAAATCGAAACGGCCGGCAATTTAGGCTAATTAGACAGATCATATTATACATTATTATACAATAAATGTCGTTATATAAATTGAAATTTATAATATTATATATAATTTAATTTAATTAACTTATACTGATAAATATTAACCATTAATGAAAAATTACTCTATTTAATATAAAAATTCAGACTTTTTCTTCTCTCAAAAAGTTAAATCCCTTAGCCGTGCACTATCTTTAAAAGAGGTAGGGAGTTTAAACCCCCATCTCTATATGGAAAAACTACTCTGCCAGCACTTTGCCCCTTAATTAGAGCGGCCCAGTGCGAATGGTAATTAGTTTGAGTATGATACATGCTTAACAGTGTTTCTTACTGTCAGGGCCTGCTTAGGACGCTAACCCAATAAGTCAACATGGCATTTGGAATGATGTAAATCACAGTGACTCAATGACTTAACAGAGAGGGCCAAATGCTGATGCGTACAAAATATTTGCTAATATTGGTCTCTTCTCACAAATACTATTTACTAAATTAGTGAGTTAACCTATGCAGTTCAGACTTTTTGTATTATATCAAATATTGTAAACTTTTACGAGTATTTATATAATCGATATAATTATATTTATTTAATTATACTCGATAATAATAATAAAAAAAATGTTGAGTATGGTGAACATCTAGAAATTGAATAACAATTTCATAATAAAAAAATGTTGAGTATGGTGAACACCTAGAAATTGAATAACAATTGTATTAAAATTATTATAAGAATTGATACCCTGCGCCTGCGAGTTGCCTTTATTGAAGAGGGCGAAGAAGAAGAAGAAATTAAAAAAAAAAAAAAAAAAAAAAAAAAAAAAGGAATCAAATCCCAAGTTTGACCGGACCCAAAACATGAGAGAGACAGATTGCAGTCACCCACCCAGCCTCTCTCTAAGCTGAATCAATGTGAAGGCAACGACCCCAAAAGCCAAAAAAAGCTGTGTATTATATTCTTCTTTCTTTGTCTCTCTTGCTTTTCTTTTTGGTGTAAAACATTCATTCATTCTACTTCTAGTTTACTAATAATAATACTAAAAATTCATCCATTCTTGAGATATCTATAATCTATCTATCTAATCTAATCTTAAGCGCCTACCCAGACCCAGGAGAGATCTTATCAGAGCTCTCTCTATCTCTCTCTCTCTCTTTCTTGATGTTTCCTTGTTCGCCCACACACAAGTTGAGGAGCTTCACGAACTTCATGTGTCTGTGTCTGTGTCTGTCGGCCGACACCTCTGAAACATCTTACTGCCCCAGCTGCTCGCCGTACCGTACAGACTGAAAAACTTTAATCTCACCCCTTTGTTTCTCTCTTTACCTAGTACTAGTCTGTCCTTAATTTGTTTCCTCCAGGTAATTCTACTATCCCAAAGATCAATTCTTGATTTTTTTTTTCTTAAAAAGAAAGCATTTTTATTTTTTATACGGTGAAGATTGTTTAGCACGTCTCAAATTTGTTGTTTTTGTGTTCTGGGTTGTTGTTTTTGACAGGTTGTATTTGAGAAATTTGCTTGTAAATATCTGGAAATCGGTGGGAAGAGAGAGAAAGAGAGAGAGAGAGAGAGAGAGAGAGAGAGAAAAAGCGTGTGTTTTTGCAGGGGGTGGAATACTATGGTGTTTTGAAAGGTTGATTTTATGCAGTTGGTGAGGTTTGCTTCAAATCCCCAAGAAAATGAAGAATTTGATGGTGGGGGTGATTATAGATGTTATGGTGGTTTTGGTTCTGAGTTATTGTGGCTTTGTGGCGTCACATGAACAGGCAAAGAGGTTGTATGATTTCAAGGAATCCTCAGTTGAAAAAGACCCCAATGGGTTCTTGAGAGATTGGGGTTCATCTTCATCTTCTAGCCCCTGCAACTGGAATGGTGTGGGGTGCTCTAATGGGGTAGTCACCCAACTCATTCTTCAAAATGCTGGGATTTCTGGGTTTCTGCACATTTCTCATCTCATGCTTTTGCCTGCTCTCAGGAATGTTCACTTGAATGGCAACCATTTCTATGGGAATCTTTCCTCCCCATCTGTTGTTTCTTGCACCTTTGAGTCTCTGGATTTATCAGACAACAACTTCTCAGATTCTCTGAATTTGGAGCCTTTGTTGTTGGCCTGCAATCGCCTCGCGTTTCTGAATCTTTCCCAGAATTCGATCCCCCACGCGGACCTCAAGTTTGGTGGTTCTATGCTGCAGATTGACATCTCTAGGAACAAGGTTTCAAATTTAGACCTTGTGGATTATTCTCTGTCCAATTGCCAGAACTTGAATCTGCTTAATTTGTCTGATAATAAGTTCAGTGGCCAGCTGAGAAGAAGCTCCCTTCAATCTTGCAAGAGCCTATCCGTTCTTGATCTCTCGCGCAATAACATCTCGGGGAATCTGAATGATCTCGAGTTCGGGGCTTGCAGAAATCTCACTCTACTCGATTTGTCGTTCAACAGTCTCTCGCCTTCTGAGTTCCCACCGAGCTTGGCGAATTGCCAGAGCCTCGGGGTATTGAATATTGGGCACAATAACATGACGGGTCTTAAGGTTCCGGGGGACTTGTTAGCGAAACTGAAGAGTTTGAGGCACTTGGTCTTAGCCCATAACGAGTTCTCGGGGGAGATTCCGTGGGAGTTGGGGCAAATTTGTAGTACTCTCGAGGAGCTTGATCTTTCCGGGAACCAGTTAACCGGGGAGCTCCCATCAACGTTTACTGCCTGCTCCTCGCTTACTAGTCTCAACCTCACTCACAATCAACTCTCGGGAGGTTTCTTGACTAGTGTTGTTAGCCTTCTCGCGAATCTCAGATACCTTTCTGTGTCGTTCAATAACTTAACCGGTCCCGTGCCAATGTCGTTGAAAAACTGTTCTCGGCTTGAGGTTCTTGATCTTAGTGCAAACGGATTTACAGGGAATGTGCCTTCTTGGTTTTGCTCGAGAACACCGGTTTCGTCTCTTACGATGATAATGCTTGCAGATAATAACCTTTCGGGGACTGTTCCATCCGAGCTTGGTTTGTGTAGGAACCTTAAGAAAATTGATCTCAGCTTCAATAGTCTGAGTGGTTCAATCCCAATGGAAATATGGACTTTGCCGAATCTCTCAGACTTGGTCTTGTGGGCCAACAATCTCAATGGCGAGATCCCCGAAGGCATTTGTTCGAACGGAGGGAATCTTCAGACATTGATTCTCAACAACAATTTGATATCCGGGGCTCTTCCGAAGTCCATTTCGAAGTGCACTGATCTGGTTTGGGTTTCATTGTCGAGCAACCAGCTGAAAGGAGAGATTCCTGAGGGAATTGGTGAGCTTACGAAGCTCGCGATACTCCAGCTGGGGAACAACTCTCTTTCGGGTGCAATTCCCCGGGGGCTAGGTAAGTGCAAGAACCTCATATGGCTAGATTTGAATAGCAATAGCTTGACGGGTCCTATTCCGACCGAACTTGCTGATCAGGCTGGCCTTATTGTCCCCGGAATTGTGTCGGGAAAGCATTTTGCTTTTGTGAGAAACGAGGGCGGGACTGAGTGCAGAGGTGCAGGTGGGCTGGTTGAGTTCGAGGGAATTCGAGAAGAGAGGCTTGCGAGTTTTCCTATGATTCATTCTTGCTCGTCGATTAGGATTTACTCGGGCACGACGGTATACACATTTGCCAGCAACGGGAGCATGATTTACCTCGATTTGTCTTACAATTCCTTGTCTGGAATCATTCCTGGGAGCGTAGGCTCGATGAGTTTTCTTCAGGTCTTGAATATGGGGCACAATAATTTAACCGGGAGCATTCCTTCGAGTTTTGGAGGTCTTAAGATGGTAGGCGTGCTCGATCTCTCTCACAACAACCTTCAGGGCTCAATCCCGGGGACTTTAGGAGGGCTTACATTTCTCAACGATCTCGATGTTTCCAACAACAACCTCTCGGGGCTGATCCCGTCGGTTGGGCAGTTGACAACGTTTCCCGCTTCACGATACGAAAACAACCCGGGCCTCTGTGGGGTCCCCTTAACCCCCTGCAGCACACGGGGTGGGCACCGTTCATCGGGCTTTCACAAGCAAGGGAAGAGGGAGGCCACCACTATCGGGATGGTCCTGGGCATAACCGTCTCGTTTCTTAGTTTGTGTGCACTCCTTTTTGCCCTTTTCAGGGCGAGGAAAGGCCAGGAGAAGGAGGAACAGAGAGACAAGTACATCGAGAGCCTCCCGACGTCTGGCAGCAGTAGCTGGAAGCTCTCGAGTGTGCCCGAGCCTCTCAGCATCAACGTGGCGACCTTTGAGAAGCCTCTAAGGAAGCTCACTTTCGCGCATCTTCTCGAAGCAACAAACGGGTTCAGCGCCGATAGTTTGATTGGCTCGGGAGGCTTCGGGGACGTCTACAAGGCACACTTAAAGGATGGCACGGTCGTGGCAATCAAGAAGCTTATCCACGTAACGGGACAGGGAGACCGGGAATTCATGGCTGAAATGGAAACCATAGGGAAAATCAAACACCGAAACCTGGTACCCCTGTTGGGCTATTGCAAGGTCGGGGACGAGAGGCTTTTGGTGTACGAGTACATGAAATGGGGGAGCTTAGAGGCGGTTCTCCACGACCGACACAAAATGGGAGCCACGAAGCTCAACTGGGCAGCTAGGAAAAAGATTGCAATCGGGTCAGCGAGAGGGCTAGCGTTTCTTCACCATAGTTGTCTCCCTCATATAATCCACCGCGATATGAAGTCCAGCAACGTCCTCCTAGACGAGAACTTCGAGGCCCGGGTGTCCGATTTTGGAATGGCACGCTTAGTAAACGCGCTGGATACTCATCTGAGTGTGAGCACGCTCGCAGGGACCCCGGGCTATGTCCCCCCTGAATATTACCAGAGCTTTAGGTGCACAACGAAAGGCGATGTCTACAGCTACGGGGTCATACTTCTCGAACTCCTCTCGGGCAAGAGGCCCATAAACACGCAAGAATTCGGGGACGACAACAATCTGGTCAGCTGGGCTAAGCAACTGCACAAAGAGAAAAGAAGCCACGATATACTCGACCCCGAGCTCATTACTCATTTATCAGGCGATGCCGAGCTCTATCATTACCTCAAGATCGCGTTTGAATGCCTCGACGAGAAGCCTTTCCGGAGACCGACCATGATCCAAGTCATGGCCAAGTTTAAAGAATCAATGCAGCATGATTCGGAGAGCGATATTCTTGACGATATCTCAGTGAAAAATTCCCTCATCGACGAGTCACCAGAAAGCGAACCGTAGCCTGCCATGATTCTTGCAGGCTTTGTTTGATTGAGCAATGGATGGTACAGATTTTCTGGGAACATTTTGGCTGTTGTAAATATTAGAAGGTGATTTTGAGACAGAAGTTATAAAAATTGGTTTAGAAAAGAATATGGTCTGAGTGAATTTTCCTTTCTTACAACTTCAGAATCCTTCTTTAATGTGTTTATTCGAGTCTCATAATTTTATTTTTTTTTTTACCATTACCAATTTTTACTGTCAATAGAATTTGAATATATACATCCTTTCGGACAATGAATCTTGAATTCCCTTGTTTGTTGTACATCTCTTTGACTTCAAAACACATATATGTTTCCAAAATCAATTATGAAAAATGAGACATTGATGGTCAAAGCTTATGTGATACCATATCTTCAATTCTTATGTGATACCATATCTTCAATTATTTCTTGTTTTAATTCTATCGATTTACCTCTTGCACTTTTGTTGTTCAAAGAGCACAACTAAAGGCCTAAAGCTTTTATCTTTTCGTATTATTGTTGTTGTTGCTATTTTGCATAATTTTATGGGTGTTCCTTTAATGTCCACCTTTTTTTTTTTTTGTGCAACAGAGGGACCAAGGTCCCAATAAATTAATAAACGCGTCTAGTAGTTACGTCTTTCGCGTCACGCTCCAAAAGGACTGTGATGCCATTAGGATTGGAGGATCTTCCAAAAGATGAGTACCTCACTCGTCATGTTGCTCTATGTTAGCGAGAAAGTTCGCATACTTGTTACCTTCTCAGAGAATGTGACGGAAATTCCAATCTTGTATTTGTTCAAAGATGTGCTTGCAATCACAAATCAAAGTATTTGCTTCCAGTCTGGATCCATCCTCGTTCTTGACAATAGTTATGCTGTGCAACCGAATGTACCATGCGCATGGTGCATACGATGCAAAACGACGTCGTTTTGACTAAAAACGCGCGTCCCACTTTAAAAAAAAAAAAATTCAGGTTCGATTCTCGGCAATAGCATTATTGTGGATATATAGTTATGAATTTCTGGATATATAGTTATAAATTTGTGGATATATAGTTATGAATTTATGGATATTTAGTTCATTCATTCTGGATATTTAGTTCATTCATTGTAGATATTTACTTCATTCATTCACTGTGGATATATAGTTATGAATTTATGGATATATAGTTATGAATTTCTGGATATATAGTTATGAATTTATGGATATTTAGTTCATTCATTGTGGATTATTAGTTCATTCATTTTGTTCATTCATTGTGGATATTTAGTTCATTCATTGTGGATTTTTACTTCATTCATTCATTCATTGTGGATTTTTACTTCATTCATTCATTCATTGTGGATTTTTACTTCATTCATTCACTGTGGATATATAGTTATGAATTTCTGGATATATAATTATGAATTTCTGGATATATAAAAATGTTATTGCCGGGAATCGAACCTGATTTCTTCTTTAAGTGGGACACTCGTTTTTTTAACCAAAACGGCGCCGTTTTGCAACCGTATGCACCTTGCAAGGTGCATTCGGTTGCACAGCATAATTTGCGCGTTCTTGACCACATTGATCATAGCTTCGGAGTCCGTCTCAATAACAACTTTGTTCAAACCATGACTTTTAACAAGATTGAGACCTTCCCTCAGGTCCCAGAACTCGACTATGAAACTGCTCGTACACCCAATCTTGGTGATAAAACTCGCGACCCATAACCATTGCGATCTCTAATTAAGCCGCCTGCACTAGCCAGACCCAATCGTTATGCTGTGGAACCGTGTCCACCTTGCAAGGTGGACACGGTTCTATGTTCATAATTACTAAACTATATGTTCATAATTATAAAGTTATATATTCATAATTTTTGAACTTCATATTCATAATTATTGAACTCTATATTCACAATTACAAAACTCTATGTTCATAATTATTGAACTATATGTTCATAATTATAAAACTATATATTTATAATTTTTGAACTTCATAATCACAATTATTGAATTTCTATATTCATAATTAAAGAACTATATGTTCATAATTATGTTCACAATTCTATGTTCATACTTATAGAATTATATGTTCATATTCTTTAAACTATATATTCATAATTATGAACAGTTTTAGAATCGTGTCCACCTTACAAAGTGGACACAGTTCCACAGCATAATTTGCCAGCTAGACCAGAGTTGGTTTTGTGCGCCCCATCAGTGTTAATGCCCACCTTTTTATGTTTAAGGCTTTTTAATTTTATTTTTTAATTAAATCAAGTTTTAACTCTAATTAACACAATCAGCTAACAGCTATCAGCTAACAGTCACTTTACCAAATATGGCCATAATCAAATGTGTAAATCTGTTGACAATTAATGAATATAAAAAATTTGTAAGTGATAATTTAAGTAATATATAATTTGATATAATTAACATTATTTTAAGGTTGTTGAAACAAAAATAAACAAAAATGCCCTTTCAGACAGTAAAATAAATAATAAGGCAAAAATTCGTGTGATCCGTGAGACGGGTCGAGTTGAGATTAAATGTAATACTTAAACTAGTAAATATAATACTAAATTAGGAATAAAATGATTCTTATTTATATAAAAAAAATGTAATATTTTTAAAGAAAAAATGTAATACTTTCGCATTTTGGTGTAAAATTATTACATTTTCATCAAAAATATTACCTTTTTTATTTTTCTTTATAAGTGCAACATTACTTATAAGAGAAAATATAATACTTTTGATAAAAAAATAATACTTTAACATCAAAATATAAAAATTAAATTTGTCATCAAAAGTATTACGTTCTCCCTTATAAGTAACAAACATTCTATTCTTGATTTAGTATTACATTTGCATATTGACCCGACCCGTCTCACAGATAAGGATCCGTGAGGCGGTCTCACGCAAGTGTGACCCAAATAATAATGGTCAAATTAGTTACTCAATTGTAGAGATGACAATTTCTCTCTAATCCCCGCTTCAAAGGGGCCAGGACAAGGATATAAACATATTTCTCTCCTCTCCATCCCGGGTGGGTGTGTGTGTGATTCAATGAATTCATGAAGAATTGAAGACTTAAGCATTAGACTAAATTTACTAAGATTATGCGGTCTAATGGTACTCGGGTTGGACTTCCATTTGGAAGATTGTGAGTTTGAGCCTCAGTAAAGGCGTTATTGGCTCTTTGTGTTTTAGTAAGTTGAGAAAGTATATGGACATATAATACATTGTAATAGACTAAATTTGAATTTGGTAATTCGGATTATGAATTTAATAATTAAAATGTATACTAAATTACTAGTTTTACTATAAGATTGATCGGACGTGGAGATTTCACACTCTCAAAAATTCCACAAAGAAACATGGATGAAAATTTTCTTCTATTCCCTTACGGGAAGGGAGAGCTATGCGGGGAAATATACTTCTTGTCTTATTGTCATCCCTACTTAATTGTCGGGATACATCAATATACGTAATATGTAATTATTCACTAAGGTGACTATATTTGATCTTTCAAGTTACTTTAACCCTTAGTTTCGTCTTAATATTTATACATGTTTTAACCATGGCAATAAAAAATGAATTGAAGATTCCCAAAAAAAAATAATAATAATAAAATAAAATAAAAATTGAAGCATCATTATAGTTTTGAACATGTGGAATATATGCGTGACTGTACGTATAACACAAAAATTATCACACAAAATACTTAAATGATCACCTTTATATATAATTATTAAGAGTGGTCAGAATCTCTCATATTAGGAGAGAAGGTAATCAATGTGCGGACTGGCTAGCAAACTTTGGACAGAATATTGGTTGGGGGACCATCGTCCTGGACTCACCTCCAATGGAGTTGAACACCATGCTTGAAGCTGACGCCAGTAATAGGTCGGTTCTAAGAATAAGCTAACGTCCTTTGAGGACTCCAAATGCACCCAAAAAAAAATATAATTATTAAGAGAGTAATGCCATTTGATTTGGTAACTACAAAATTTTAAATTCAACTCTATATTACTATCGACATTCTTGGTTTGAACCGATCAATTATGAGCAACTTAGACTGGATTACTTCTTTGTACGCATATATTCAAATAATGGTTACAGACTATTTTCTCAACCTACTGAAGTACAAAGAGACAATAGCACCTCCACTGAGGCTCGAATTTACAATCTCCCATTTTGGGAATTCAACCCGGGTGCCATATGTGTACAAGGTGCTTAATTCGCTCATAGTTTTTGTTTATTTTAATCATAATAACAATGCAATTAACCAATTAAAAGAGACGAAGTAATTAGGAAGTTGCCAAAAATCAGCATCATATGACTCCGTCAATCATGGTAATTATGATTAAGATTTTGATTAGATTTTGATGTTGTGTGTAATGTGTTTGGTCTCTAAATCTTAAAACTTTTGGGTCATTTTCATGTCGGTTCCTATTCAGCCATGTTATGTCATTATTGGTGGATCGGAAGCTATTGCTTTCTTTAATTTAGTCTTGATTAGGACTTAGAATGTGATTTATTCATGCCTAATTGCTTCCTTCCTTAGCTTGATAGAGAATCCAGTTTTAATCCACACGGACTTAGTTCATTAGTTTAGTAAGTAATATTTGAAAAAAGACACCAAAATTTAAATTTTGATAGCGACAATGTTAGGATTATATTTAAAGTGGACATATTCTTTATATACCCACATGCTTTGTCGAATCAGAGTGTGAACCCTTAAGATTGGGAATTCAACTTCTTGAAAAAGAGGAGAAGAAGAGAACCCAGTTTTAATTTATAAACACAACTTTTTTTTTATTTTTTATTTTAATAATTCCTACGACACCTCATCTCGCTGTATTTTCCAAAGTCAAATTTCCTTTGAAATTGTTGTAATTTTAAAATATATTTTTTAAATAAAGTGATAGATATAATTACACCTAACCATGCATTGCTTTCTTAAGATAAATGCAGTGAATATTCATTTCAAACTCATAATAATCAAACGGTATTGACTCAAGGTGATATATTCTTAAATTTAGAAACATTCACCATTAATATACAAGATATAAATTCTAGTACAACGAGTGGAAACAAATTAAAGTAACAACTCCTGTACATTTGTCTTTGTTGTTGGGTCCCATCCAATTTTTATATTGAAATAATAATTCTGCCAAAAATTTCAAAGTTTTGCATCAAAGTTCTCCTCCCCCTAGCTTAGC